TTCTTTCTTCTTGCCTTTGTTCTCCTTTTTTGTTCGTCGTTTGCCTTCTTCTTTCCTTGGTGGCCCTTGCTTCCTGATGTCTCCCCCATGTCTCACGAAAGGAAAGGAAAGAAGAAGACAGACAAAAAGGGCACCGAAGGCTGAAGGGAGACGAGGCTGGGAGACAAGGCGCCAGGAACACCGAAGGCAGCGATCACAAAACGAGAGAGAGGGCTGGGAGACAAGGCTGCAAGGGCAGCGAAGGCCGCAATCATGCAGATTCACAACGCCGGGAGGCAAGGCGGCAAGGGCAGCGAAGGCACCAAGCATGCGGGAGACAAGGCAGCAAAGGGGTGGAAAGCAGCGGTCATGAACGGAGACTAGGCGGCAGCGGCAGCGAAGGCAGCGATCATGCAAAGGGCAAAATCCGGGAGACAAGGCTGCAGGGGCACCGAAGGCAGCTGGCTGAAACGCAATACTTGAAGGCTCAACTCCTCCCAGGTCCGCTTTCTTCGCTTCTTTGTTCTTTCTTCTTGCCTTTGTGATCCTTTCTTGTTCGTCGGTTGCCTTCTTCTTTCCTTGGTGGCCCTTGCTTCCTGATGTCTCTCTCTTGTCTCACAAAGAGAAAGAAAAGGAGAAGACAGGGCAGCAAGGGCGGCGAAGGCAGTGATCATGAAGGGAGACAAGGCTGGGAGGAGACAAGGCAGCAAGGGCAGCGAAGGCACCGATCATGATCATGAAGGGAGATAGGGCTGGGATACAAGGAAGGGAGACAAAGGGTGGGAAACGAGGCAGCAAGTGCATTCTTTTTGCGCTCAGGATCTCCTTCATTGAGAAGTAAGAAGCCCTATAGCTGACGCTATCTCGGGAAAAGTGAGAAAAAGCATCTAAAGAAGGAAGAATGGGGCTTAAACCACAATCGTTGGCAACAAAATTGGACGTGCTGACCATCAAATGTGTTCTTTTAGCAAAAATTGTGGAGGTTTCGATAAACAAAAATGGGAGTGAAAACGGCAGACAGTCAAGACAGTGAAGACAGCCAATTTCATAGCCAACAATCATGAGACGTCTTTGTCTATCTGCGAAATTATAATTAAGGAAGATCACAACTGATTGGTCTATCTGTTTATTATCCCATTGGTGGATATCCCTATCAAATAATAGAGGTATAATTTACTTGTTGTAAACATTTTTTGGGTGTTACTATAGTAATATTATGTCGCAGTCTGTCCCCATCAAGTAATTTGGCATATTAATCATATAGCATCATATAGCTATGATATTAATAGTCACTATTTGCGATTAGACTCATTGAGTAGCCACTAGAATAATGAGTATTAATATCATAGCTATATAGAATAATGACTAGAATAGGTTTGTAATACTAGTCACTATTAATATCAATGGCTATATATCATTAATATGATTTGTGACTATATCGATTGCTTGTAATACTAGAGGGTCTATCCCCGTCAAATCACGCCCCTCGCCCGCCGCACCCGTCATCCATCTGTCGTCGTGGCCCTGTCTGCCTGACGGGGCGATGGTGATGCCACGCCGTCGATCTGGAATGAACATCTACCAGCAATTTATAGGGTTTACCCTCTGGAAAACTAACATAGCTAGTGAAAATGGCCATTTATAGTTGAGTTACCCATCAAAAATGGTGATTTCCTAATAGTTATGTTTGTTTACCAGAGGGTATGATAGATATATCCCCACAAGGTGGTGCCCGCTATTTAACTCAGTCGGCTTTTGCAGAGACACCTTGAAAACCAGAGGCTTGATCCATTGCCATATTTGTAACTTATGAAAATATGACGGATCATGAAATGTCAAAAGGCATTTAGGGTCTAAAATCTGTTGAAAGCCAGTACCCCTTCCAGATACAAATGGAGGGGTCGTTGCTTGCAGCTACAGGACTTCCATGTATCTTCCACGTTTATCCATGTTGGGGGAACCCAAAAAACCGGTTTACCCAAAAAATGTGGACAAAATCCTGCATCAGTTGGTAACTATTGGTATCTATGAAAGTATATGAAAGACTGCAAACAATGGGAGAATGGGATTTTGCCCATTCACTGGTGGTTTTCGCAACCACAGTCAACCCATCACAACCCAGCTGAGGACAGGACCCTTTTCCACCACGCTTGCCTCGAAGGAACCAGGTGGGGTTGGAATCAAAGGAAAAATCAGAAATTATAAAGGGTAAACCATCCAAAATAAATAGATAAATCATCCACATATGGATTATAATAGGTAAATCATCCATAAATATACCATGTTCAATCATTTTCCATAGCTCTTTTAAATTACCCAAATGGTATTTTTAGCATCACAGAACCTTGAGATTTTCATATAGTAACGCCAACAAAAATGTGGATACCTTCCCATGAACCTACAAAAAATGTGAGGATTCAACGGAGAAGTTGGCTACCCTCTGGTTTTCTCTTTGCTGGATCACCTGTCAACGGATTGGCAAATTCCAGCCAGATTCGGGCATGGGTCAATACGTTTAAAGAATGACGGATTTGGTGCACCCATACCTTTTTGCAACAGGGTCTTGAACTCCGCATCATTCAAGCATCCAAAAATGGAACCTTCATCCCATCACTATGGCAAATCCTTCCATGAAGAAAAACGGCGACGTGTTTATCCAATGTGACTTACCGGATATCCTCTGACAAAAACCTTTGCGAACTGCTGATTTCTAGCGCGACATCAGTTCTATCCCCAAGTCTACTGGTACAACATAGACCCAACATCATGGCATAAGAACTCCCAAAACATAACATCAGTTCAACCGTAACCGTAATCACAATCATAAGCATATGTACATATCATATTCTACATATACATATAGTTATAGCCATGTATATGTATATATATATACATATATATACATATATATTATATATATATATACATATACTATTATAATATATGCAATACTACTAACCCATGTCAAGTGTCATATGTGTCTTAAAAACCTGCAATGAACAGCAGCTTGGTCTCCCTGCCATCATGCGAATAGCCTTGCCCCGTTCCACCCATTCCTGGCGCGGCGTCACACTCATCTGTTGGGGCTTCAGTATGTTTCACATAGATGCAGAAAACCTACCATTTCCAGATAATCCTTTGGAAAACCTATGGGAAAATGGGAAAATCCACATTTCCTTTGAGGAAAATCGAAAATCCCATGGATTTCAATAGTTCTGTCAACCTACCAGGGGCTAAATAATGTTAAACATCAAACATGACCACTTTTTTGGTACATGAAAACCATTCCTGTGATCCCCACTTTGGTACATGGACTTCCTCAGGCCCTGACGAATTGACAAGTCTTCCATGCCCAGGGGCTGCCTCGAAGGGAACTCTGGTGGTACCAAAAAGATGTTCTTTTGGATTTTGGATCCGGGCAAAGAGCAAAATGTGTCAACTGACATGAAAGTTGTGTTGGATCCTTCAACTGACATGAAAGTTGTGCTGGATCCCAGGATCCAATTTTTGAAGCCACCAACTCGTGTGGTGCCACTGTGCTCCCGGCGCGTAGGGAGATGGGGCCATGCCTGCCTTGGGCGAAGCCAAAATGGTGATGTTCCACCATCCATCAACAGCGATGTCGCCATGAGGTGAATCAACGTTCAACCGTCCAACTTCGCACGTTGACCAACAGCAAAAAAACTGCGGGCAGGATCCACTGCTGATCCTTACACCATAAAATTATGAGAAACAAGATACATACTACTATACGTGCTCAAGATTCATTTGTTTACGACTTTTTCAGGTGACTATCTTGCTCTCATGTTGCTACAATTATAGTGTATACAGACAGACCACGGAACCATCTTTTCACCAATTCTTGAAGTCATGTTGGCTTTCGGACACCGAAACCTGCCCAAAAACAGATATAGCAATGCAAAAATGTATTTGTGTATATATATATATTCATTATCATTATTACAGTATCATTGTTGTACATGTGTATGTATGTGTATATATATATATATTATCATTATCATTATTATTGTTGTAGTTTTCATTATAGCTATTGTTATAACATGTTATAACCACTATCATTCTTATTAGTGTTGTTCTCGTATATAAATGATTTCCTCTGTTTTTCCAGGTGTCCTGTCTTTACCCAAATATATGGGCTATGTCCGCCAGAAAATCATCTTCCAGGGCATCAATTTTTGCGGATCATCTTCATTATGATTAAAATGGTTTCAACCCCCCAAAAAAAAATCGGTCAGTTGAAAAATCGGCGCATCCCAAAAATCCACAAAAAGTGGAGTTTTTCAAGCACCCAACTCTGGAGTTTCTCAATTCCTGGCTCCAACTGGTCAGTTTTTCGAAACGGAATTTCTGGATAGTCATAGCCCTAAAATGGCTCCCTAACCACCAGATAGATCAGATAGCTGCCCTGAGTTGGTGGAAAGCCGCCTGCGGGTAGCGGCTGGCATCGGCTCCATAGGCCAATCCAGCCTCTGAAAATGCGGAAGACGCCGCATGTTCATAGCCATTCAATGGGGAAAATGATGATTAACCATCTAAATTTGAGTCCAATGTTGATTTTTGAGGAAAAAGATGGATGGGACAATTGATCATGACAAGAAAATGCTGTGTGTGATTGCGTGTGTCTGTTCGATTGGAAACTTCATTGTAAAACACCCTCCGGCACTGTCTTCTAGCCCTGAAGCAGCTGTTCAGCCGTTGGGGCGCTCAAACATGGAACACTTCCCTCGAAGTATCCAGGCATCACTGGCCCGTTTTTCCTTGCCTGGTATTGTGCTGCGATGGGATCCAATCCCTGGTGCTGGTGGGGATGGAAGAAATTGACCCTAGAGTCCCTAGAGACCCCAGTTGTGCTGTCAAGAAAATACAATTCAATGGGATTCAAATGGTGTGAAAAACAAATTCTTGATAGACTCCCTCCATTCAAGTGATCTTGGGTTGGTTTCACCACGCCTGGACGGGCGGTCTCAGGGGATCTGGTTGAAGGCCGCCCATGGGGTCCTGACACACATTGGCACCTTGAAGCCCTACATCTGCCGGGCAAAAAGCCCCGATGTTCCACAACAAAAATTGCTTGGGAATCCGTTTTGGCCAAACGCGAATGAAAGGACCCAAAACAGGAAACTTTGGGGACCCAAGCTGACTTCTTTGGGGGATCATCTGCGCTGCGATATTTGGAAAGAATTTGGGGTTCTCAAAATGGGGGATCCCCAAGTCACCATGATTGTTTCAATCTGAAAATTGTGTGATTTTGGATGATTTGGGATACCCCCATGACTTAGGAAGCCTCCATTTGGATCCCAAAATTCTTTCACAAATAGCTCCCACGGCGGTCCATAGGACGTGGCACTCCATAGGGATCAACGCCTCACCAAAGCGGGGCTTTGGTCAAGGAATCAGGTTTTTGGCCAGGGCTTTGGTATCAGGTTTTTGGCCAAGAAGAGCTTGGCCAAAATGGATGATTGATATTGGAAAATCCTATTTAAATGGATGATTTGGGAGTACGTACCCCCATTTTAGGAAAACCCAAAATCCACAAAACCAGGTTTTACCTAAAATTGCAAGCAGACGTGCGTCTTAGCCAAGAAAACAGCTGTCTTAACAAAAAGAATGTGTTTTGGCCGCCAAAAATTGGGTGTTACCCCACAAACATGTGGATTTCATCGACAGTTCGAACCAACGAATAGGTAAGCGTGCTTGCGAAAAAAAATCAATGTTGGGCAGGGAACCCCAAAATTACACATTTCATGTACTCTTGTAATTTTAGCAACAGAAATCCCTGGTCAGATCTTGTCAGGGAACACCATCTGCGGGAAATTCCATTGGTCGAAGCATGGGATTCACCGATGTGCCGGTGAATCCGTTCAGGGCTACAGCCGCTGCCCTCCATTGATTGATCCATAGCCCAGCACAAGCTCAACAAGGTCACACCAGTCACACCTGGCCTGGATAGTATGGATTTGTTGGTGCTGCCTGGCCGGCTGACGCTTCTTGTTCGGCGTGGAAATGGATTCACTTTGAGACATGGTCTTCTGTCGCTGCCACCTCGCACCCTTCAAAAGGCTCAATTCTAGAAGAGCGACAGAAAAGGACTAGCATCACATTGTCGGCATTCACCCCCTCAAAAAATTGAGTTCAAGTATCAGAACATGACGAATTTGCTCACAAAAAATGGACGGAGCCTTTTTCACCGCATCCCACCACAGGCCCAAACAACTCTGCGCCCGCACACCGTGCCTGCACATACGGTTGATGCGGCGGGGCAGCAGGACGTCCATAGGATGGATTGTCCACCCATTGATAAACCTGGCAAGCGTCGCCCCGCAACGTTCCACAGGGCAAAGTAGTGTTGAGTGCTTCGGTGAAAGATCTCATGCAAGCTCTGGGGTAGAACTTATTGAAGTGAATCGAATTACGATACCAAAAGAACCTCCAAAACCACCAACGGATGCTGGACACGTCCTGCGGTCCTTAAGAGGTGAATGGTCACCCCATCATTAGGGATTCAGCAAAGTTTACATACTAATTCTCACTACTGGGGCCTGGGGATCATAGACCATGGCATCTCCGAAAAATCCCGACATATCTGCCACCACACAGTTAGCACAAAAAAATGGGACACAAAGCCAATCATCGAACATCATCAACAATCCCTAAGATCAGCCCAAACCTTGCTTGTATCATTCAAACCGGTTGGTTCTCATCCCCATGAAACCTGGTAGTATCATTGCCGTCTCCATCGCTGAGTAATATTGGTCTGGGTCAATATGTAAAACCCAGGGGACTGCATGTTTGGTCAGTTTTGAGACATAGCCACAATCGAGTATGGTCCAAGACTTCAGATCCATCAGTGAGACTTCAGATCCATGTTACCGCTGCAACCCTATCAACATATCTGTGAGCTCCTCCAGCGAGACTATTATGGATGATTGCAGATAGTCACAGGACAAGCCCCATAAAAATATCTGAGTAGCAGCCCATTATTGTCGGGGGTCTGCCAAAAACAAGGTACCCAACATTTCCAGTGGTTCAAACCTGGTTTTCCCTATGTAGTGTCTCATGGCCATAACTTGTGGGTAATGGATCGTCAAAAACCCGAGTGTTTCCCGTTTCAATTGGCCATAAATTGGGCGGCAAAAGTGTGCAAAGCAACCCCAAAGAGATAGAAAAGTAAATTCCGCTTCTAAATGGTTGCGTATATATATATATACACACACATACATATATATATACATATATATATATACATATATATATTTATTTATTTATTTATATATATATATTGTAGATAGATATAGATATGTGGTACAGTAAATGAATCTTCTATTTTTTTTGGGTGGTTCTACAAGCCCCATTTCTTGGCACAACAAAAACCCCACCACGGCTGTCGTCTCTCAACGCACCATGTCTTGCACCGGCGGAGGCGTGGGACTGTCCACCCATTGGGTGCCAGCCTGCGCCCATCCATTTCTGGTGGATTACTGGGGTTGGGGATATGATTATTTCTGGTACCCTCCAGTAAATTAACGTAGACCCTGGCAGATAGGGGTTGGAAGATTGGTTTCAACTAAAAGTTGGTGATTTTCAGGGTCTATGTTAATTTACCAGAGGGTAATTTCTGGGGATAAAATGGATAAAATATTTCTGGTGGGGATATCATATTCCCATCGTATTTCTGGTGATTTTTTGGATAACATATGATAATCCATGGGGAGATGGGAATATGGGGATGGGGATTTTGAAAACCCATATTGGATGTAGGGGAACAAAACTAGAGGCTGTTTAGTAGAGGGCTAGGATTATCTAGTTTTTACCCATGGTACAGCAACTGGTTGGTACCCATAGTAAGCCTGGATACCCTGGTTGGTAAGGCCCCGATTCCCACTGTTACACATCTCACTAGATTCAGACTTGGAGTGAAACTACACATTCCGAAAATATCAGCAGTCCATTGGGATTATCTTCGCCACAAATGGGTTGAAAATCTGAAGGCGAACCACCAAGCGGATTATGTGATGCTATGTGGTAACTCGTGCTATAGCTCATGTACAAGCAGGAAAAAGCACAGAGAGTGAGCTCGCCGGGAATGCAGATGCACCACTTACTCTACTGGATAGAATGAAAGAGAGGTGACTTTGCTGCCATTTTCAGGAGAGTTCAGACTAGCCGTGGTGCCCTTCCTATCCATAAATATCCATAAATGGGGTCAAAAGCCCAATCAACTCCTTAGCCCCGCAGTCATGGTAGTTCTAACTTGATGCAAATCTCGGATGGGTACTTGGGAGGTGCAAATCCACTTATAGTAATCAGTAAGTATGTGAAACTATTGCTATCCCAATGATTGAGAATCAAATTACTCCAATAGTATCCATTATTCAATGACTAAAATCACAACGATGCCACTGCTAACCATGGCTGTATGTTCCCATGATACTCATCAGCTCACCTGGCTTTGAGTCATCGGAAACATGGGTTGTTGGGCCTGGCAGCGACGGTGGCTATGGATTGAAACTTGTGGGAAAAACATGGAAAACTGGTTCATCACCAGTTTCCCCATTATTTGATGGCCATGAATTCGGCGCATAAGGTCATTTTTTTGCGCCATATTCAGACACACCCGATCGATTGAGCCATTCAAATGACATATCCATATGACATGTGATGTTTCTGAGCCAATCTCCAGAGTTGACCCTTTCTAACGTGGCCAGCTGGAAACACAAGAGCGACAACTCCCCTTGCCATGTTAGCCGTCCAGAGCATAGGTATATATGAAAATCTAAATAGATGTACACGTTTATGTAGGTGTGTATACATATATAGATAGTGATACATAAATACATGTATATATATGTACATATATATATATATGTACATATATACATATATGTATATATATACATATATACATATATATTCATATATACATATATATACATATATATATATATGTACATATATATATATATATATGTATATGTACATACATATATATATATATATACATATACATATATATTCATATATACATATATATATATTCATATATACATATATACATATATACATATATACATATATACATATATACATATATACATATATACATATATACATATATAGATATGTATATACATGTAGACATATATATATATACGTATATATATATATAGTAAATTATCACATCTTTAAATATTAATAGTCATGTGCACAAATGAACAAAATCAAACGGGAACTTCACAGTACCCCATGGCCACCTGAGGTGCAGCCTGTGGCTGGACCTGCCACGACATGCCACGACACGAGTAACGACCACATGGAAATTTCAACAACAAAGCTTGGAACGTAGATTTTTTTATACATATAATATCTATATTCATGTAAAATATCTATATATATATAATATCTATATAACATGAGTTGAAAGATGTGTATTTATGTGTACATGACATGTGTGTATATATATACTGTATAGTTATTTATGTTCTATGTCTAGACAACTGCATCAACGGAAGTATCTAGAATACAAAAAGGGAATATGCAACCAGCCAAAATTGAAATATACATGTTGCACCTGAAGCGAAATGATGAATAGGACCAAAATGATATGCATAATCGTGAATATGGATGAAAGGAAAAAAGGCAGGATAATCCCTAGGTTGACACTTTTAATTCAAAGCATGAAAAATACTTGTTCGCGCCTACCTGAAGTGTATACTTGTCATCTTGGAACCTTCACGAGGCCTAAATAATAAATGAATCCATTCAAAGGCAATTAGAAAGATTGCTATCTGGGATCATATTCTCATATAGCAAGGGGAAACGTAGTACATCCTTGCCTTTTTTCGGAGCATCAGGGGAAAATCACACACTAAAAAACCCACAAACTGGCTGATTTCCCTCAGAAAATCCATCATTTCATCACTTTTTGGTGCTTGAAACAGGCCTTTTTGGAATTGCTGAAACCACCAGACTCAGCAGGGTCTCCGTTCCGTCGAATCTCGGATCGGTTCCGAGACTTTGATCCCCCCGTGAAAAGCCGGCGGCCTGGGGCATCCGTTCAGCCTTGGGAGCTGCAAAATCAGAAATTGAGGTTCGACCAAGAGAAAAAGAGGGATAGAATTGATAGAATTGATAGAATCCATTGGAATCCATTGAAATTGAGGATAGGACTATAGGACGATATGTTTGAAATTGCGGGATTGAAGCATCAAACATGGAGACTTCAAAAGCAGAATGCGGGGATTGGCAACCCATCAAGAATGTGGATATGACCATATGTGCCAACAAAACACTACAGAATAGGAAAGTCAACAACGAAAATTGGAAATGGTGCGTTACAACTATCAAGTGGTAGGAAATTTGCTGGCAAACATTCATATTTCAAGAAATGTCAGAGGGATAACACATAGGAGATCATGAGAGAGTTTAACAAGCGTGAGCGAGTACATAATAAATGAATGAATAGACAAGGAACATATTTTACATCTTATACAAAGTTTACATATTCATATGTACATCTGTACATATATAATATGTATATATATAATATACGTGATATATATGGTATATATTGTAGATATTATACATACTATACAATGACAAAAAGATATTTCAATAAATGGTAACCCATCCCATCTTGGACCCTCACTGGTCCATCCACCCACTGGTATCCCTGGCATGTCGGCTTCAGAGTGCCCGGGATGGGTTCAGAACGGGAATTCTCCGTTGATTGTGATATTGATCAATAATGAACATGAAGGTTAGTATTAATAGTTATATAAATACTAATATCTATATATATATATATCAAGGTTGGCTAGTAACTATACGAAAACCAATAATATATATATGATCAATATATGTATAATCCCTGAATTAATTGTCAACCAAGGCTTTGAACATTGCTCACATGTGTTTAGTATCAAATGCCGAGGGTTCCACAAAATAAATCGATGAGTTTCCCCTGAGGATTCCTTGACTTTGCGGTCATTCAAGTTATCTCCTGAGTCATGCAGGTGACTTGAAGTCAGGGGTGATCTGAGTATGCATGAGTCCTTAAGGGATCTAAAATCCTCAGATGTCATTCCTTGCTTTGACGCACACCAAATTCTCCGAAGTACCCAAAGGATCCCAAAGGCACAATATGCGCGCCAAAGGATTTGACATGATCGGTGCCAAATTGGCCATGGAATCACGGAGAATCTATGAGCAAATGCTATGGCGCTCACCATTGGGTGACAAACTTGGATGTCCTTTGCAGTACACAGGTGCCTATGGTTTAGTTTGTTTCTAATGTGTATATATGTATATATATGCTTCGAGTCACTAGTGTACATGAGCACGTATTAGTATATATAATTTACAAATATGTCTAGTTGCACATTCTGTTGAAACCAAACCCAAATATATAACTGGCAAATCATCTGGAACGAATTGGGCGCTAGGGCATGTTCCTACTCAAGGAGCACTGTGTCTTCCAGCCATGCTTTCTACACTGGAACCTCTTCCCCTGTACTCGAAGCAGATTTCACGCACTGATCCGCAAATCCATTCTGTAGGCCGTCTAAGCCATCTGAGAGGAGTGAATTCATTCGATCGAAAGGGATAATTCATCACTGCTGTTGGTTTGGTGCCATGAATCGTTTCTCTTCTCCACATGTTTTTCCTCTCAAAGTGACACAACCACTTCACTAAAACATTTTGGCTCTGCCGTTTTCAGCAAGCTGTCACCTATCAGTGAGGGGTGCAAAGCAAGAAACAACCTTAGCTCAGCTGTGCGAGTAGAGCTGCATAAATAAAAGGGTTGTGACCAAAAAAGGGGTATACAACATTATACAACCCGGAAATGGAAATACAATAAGAAAAATTGCCATATTTCCGAGTGGACTTGGGGCTACTCTATTTTCAAACTGGGCAATGTTAACCTGTTAACCACGCTCAATGTTGACCCTTGGTTGTCGGATGCTTCGCAGACAAATCAACCTGGGTTTGTTGATCATTAGCCATGGATATTAAGCCAAGAATATTAACCAAGAATATTAACAAGATCACTTACAGCAAATGATTCTGGCAAAGAACCTGCCACGTAAAAACATCATGCCTCTGCTCTGATAAGCACTTGCAAACACCACTGCAACAAGGCCGTCGAACCAATCAGACTGCACAATCCACAGAATCATTGGAAATCAAGACATTGGAGATATATCAACATCATGGAGATATCATGGGGATAATACTGGGGAGATATCATGGGGATAACATAGACCCGGGCAAGCCGGCGGCGGAAGTTTCCCAAACATAAATGACCTATAGTTCAAAGACAACCTGTCCCGACCGTGTCCTTCCCTCGACACTCCACACCTCACACTGCACACTGCACTCTTCGCACTCCAAACTTCAAACTTCACACTCCACACTTCACACTTCTCACTTCTCACTGCTTCCTTCACACTCCAAACCTCACACTTCACACTTCACACTGCGCTCTTCGCACTCCAAACTTAAACTTCACACTCCACACTTCACACTTCACATTCCACACTTCACACTTCTCACTTCCCACTGCTTCCTTCACACTTCACACTTCACACTGCACTCTTCACGCCCCACACTTCACACTGCTCTAAACCTACGTGGGACAAAAAAACACTAATGCGACAAAATGGAGAAAATCTGCTGACAAATCACTGTGGCAGCCTTCATGCAGCCACTCCAATACGATTTACGAAGTCGAGCTGCAAAAGACAATAGTATTACGAATGCAGCCACAGCACGAAGCAACCTTGACGCAGCCATTACAATGCGATCTGCAGAGACTGAGTTGCAAAACACAATAGACCTACGCGCAACCGCGTCGGAAATTGTAGCTCCACAACCGGATCTCGACGCCAGAGCCCCAAAAAAGACGATTTTGAAGCACTTTTTAAAATGATTTTTAGAAGGAAAATCACTAGTGCCAAAATGGAGAAAATCTGCTGACAAATCCATGTCGCAGCCTTCATGCAGCCACTCCAATACGATTTACGAGATCCAGCTGCAAAAGACAATAGTATTACCAATGCAGCCACAGCACGAAGCAACCTTGACACAGCCATTACAATGCGATCTGCAGAGACAGAGTTGCAAAACACAAAAGAACTACGCGCAACGGCGTCGGAAATTGTAGCTCCAAACCGGATCTCGACGCCAAACGAAAAAAAGACGATTTTGAAGCACTTTTTAAAAGGATTTTTAGAAGGAAAATCGTTGGCGCCAAAATGGAGAAAATCTGCTGACAAATCACTGTGGCAGCCTTCATGCAGCCACTCCAATACGATTTACGAAGTCCAGCTGCAAAAGACAATAGTATTACGAATGCAGCCACAGCACGAAGCAACCTTGACGCAGCCATTACAATGCGATCTGCAGAGACTGAGTTGCCAAACACAATAGAACTACGCGCAACGGCGTCGGAAATTGTAGCTCCAAAACCGGATCTCGACGCCAGAGCAGAAAAAGTTGATTTTTGCATCGTTTTTTATAAAGAATTGAAATAGAAAATGAAAGCAGGCAAAATCTGAAAGAATCCAGGAACAATCCCTAGCAAGACACAATGGTATTACGTCCTCAGCTCGTCCACCGAAGCATGTGAAACCTTCTAGACATTGCGGGAACGATCCTACAGTTGCAAATCACAATGGAATTCCATCTGCAACTCATCCACCAGCACCACTTGCAATCCCATTTACAGTGAGGGAACGATCCTAGAGTTGCAAATCACAATGGAATTCCATCAGCAACTCATCCACCAGCACCACTTGCAATCCCATCTACATTGCGGGAACGATCCTACAGTTGCAAATCACAATGGAATTCTGTCGACAACAAATGCACGAAACACAGGTGACACCCCATTTACAATGCGGAACCGATCCGAGCATGATCCGACCATGATCCGAGCCCGATCCGACCATGATCCGACCACACACGAGACCGTCTCGCAACCGTCGCACCGCAGAGGTAGATCATCGAGGTTCGGGGACGGACTTTGTATGGAAAAACATATATATAGGCTTTCGTGCATCTGCTATCTCTCAAAAACGCATTTCGTGCGAGACTTCCTTCAAAACTCCATCGGCAACTCCTCCACCAGCACCACTTGCAATCCCATTTACAGTGAGGGAACGATCCTAGAGTTGCAAATCACAATGGAATTCCACATCAGCAACTCATCCACCAGCACCACTTGCAACCCCATTTACAATGCGGGAACGATCCTACAGTTGCAAATCACAATGGAATTCTGTCGACCGCACATGCACGAAAAACAGGTGACACCCCATTTACAATGCGGAACCGATCCGAGAATGATCCGCCCATGATCCGAGCATGATCCGACCACACACGAGACCGTCTCGCAACCGTCGCACCGCAGAGGTAGATACTTTGTATGGAAAAACATAGGCTTTCGTGCATCTGCTATCTCTCAAAAACGCATTTCGTGCGAGACTTCCTTCAAAACTCCATCGGCAACTCCTCCACCAGCACCACTTGCAATCCCATTTACAGTGAGGGAACGATCCTAGAGTTGCAAATCACAATGGAATTCCATCGGCAACTCATCCACCAGCACCACTTGCAACCCCATTTACAATGCGGGAACGATCCTACAGTTGCAAATCACAATGGAATTCTGTCGACCACACATGCACGAAAAACAGTGACACCCCATTTACAATGCGGAACCGATCCGAGAATGATCCGCCCATGATCCGAGCATGATCCGACCACACACGAGACCGTCTCGCAACCGTCGCACCGCAGAGGTAGATCATCGAGGTTCGGGGACGGACTTTGTATGGAAAAACATAGGGTTTCGTGCATCTGCTATCTCTCAAAAACGCATTTCGTGCGAGACTTCCTTCAAAACTCCATCGGCAACTCCTCCACCAGCACCACTTGCAATCCCATTTACATTGCGGGAACAATTTCTTTGACTAACTCGTTCCCTAACGAACTCTTTCTTTGCTAACTCTTTCTTTGCTCTTTCTTTGACTCACTCTTTCTTTGCTAACTCTTTCTTTGACTACCTCATATATCCTGACTAACTCTTTCTTTGACTAACTCTTTCCCTCACTAACTCTTTCTTTGACTAACTCTTTCCCTCACTAACTATTTCTTTGACTAACTCTTTCCCTCACTAACTCTTTCTTTGACTACCTCATATATCCTGACTAACTCTTTCTTTGACTAACTCTTTCCCTCACTAACTCTTTCTTTGACTAACTCTTTCCCTCACTAACTATTTCTTTGACTAACTCTTTCCCTCACTAACTCTTTCTTTGACTAACTGTTTTCTCTGCTAACTCTTTCTTTGACTAACTCTTTCCCGCACTAACTCTTTCTTTGACTACCTCATATATCCTGACTAACTCTTTCTTTGACTAACTCTTTCCCTCACTAACTCTTTCTTTGACTAACTCTTTCCCTCACTAACTATTTCTTTGACTAACTCTTTCCCTCACTAACTCTTTCTTTGACTACCTCATTATCCTGACTAACTCTTTCTTTGACTAACTCTTTCCCTCACTAACTCTTTCTTTGACTAACTCTTTCCCTCACTAACTATTTCTTTGACTAACTCTTTCCCTCACTAACTCTTTTTTTGACTAACTCTTTCCCTGACTAACTGTT